AATTCAAAGATTTTACCTACATTACATATATCTAACGAGCGTCTGTCTCTGCGCCGTGAATACAAAGTATCAGTAAAAATGATTTAGTGTGTCGGAGTCACAAGTAACAGATGTGTCGTGCATACATTACACATGTACAAACAGAGGGTCATCAAGATTCACTGCAAGTATAATAGTGAATTAGGGAAGCGAGTGTCGCAACTACGTACACTCCGCACTCCGCACTCAACTAGGTCGATCGGATACAATCATTATAATCTCTTTTCATTCTTTGAGATTTGAACGATTTTGTTAAGGCTCCGCTGAGACCCTCACAATATATATAGTGTGAGGAGCTGGTTAGACTGTATCTATTGAGATGTGTCATAAGATTTGAGATAACTTTTAAAATACGCGTATATTTGGTGGTAGGAACAACGATCGACTTCGTTAACATGATTGTCCCTACAATCTATCCAAACATACCTACAGTTCCTACTAAACGAATCTCGATGACTTATAACAGAGTGTGTTTTAAAAACAGTTATATCTATCTATGAAAAAAATATTATCTTTGTATGTATGACGGTCTGTCCTCCCTTTAAGTGTTTGTTACGTATGTTTGTTAGTCGCGACTAGCTGTAACGGACACCCGAATGTATTCAAATACAGTCATTGGACCATTTTCATTAATTTAACGAATACTACTTAACTGTATGTGTGTAGGTTACAGCGAGGTGTCACAACACTTACTGCTACATATTTATACGAGACGAAAATCAGTTCTGAACAGCAGATGGTCCGTCTACCTGTAAAGATGATGCAGGTCGAGATCACGAGGTTATAAAAAAATATTATGAACACTTTGTATAGCACAAAGTTCTAAAACAAATAGATCATTAATGAATGTTAGGAAAATATTTGATAGAAGATTAATTTGATGGAATTAAACCGATCTAGAAGGTTTGTTGGATCAGACAGAACAATCTACACCAAACTGACGTGCTTGACGATATGATACTTTAAATTACTAATCGATAGTATCCAAAATCACAAATATGAGAGGAAATACCATATCTGTATCCAAAAAGGTACTGAAAATTCCGTTTCCGAAAACAGCCTCAGTAGGAAACGATGCTATAACACCTTATTATAAATTAAAAGTTTATCTGTTTGTTTACACAGTAATACGTGAATATTGAGGTGCTCCCTTCAGTTGGGAACGTGTATATACTGTATATATACAGTATATACAAGTATATACATGTATACTACTTGATACCACAATCGTATAGTTCTTATAATTTCACTAAACATTACACATCTCTGTCTCGGTTTCAATTATAATTCAAGTAAATGTAAATAAAATATTAAAGTAACACATTCTTTGAGATAGAGGTGGATGAGTTCTCCGCATTAATAAAGACTTCACAAGTTTTTGCATATACACATAACACAAACCACGCTCGAGCAGAATCAGTTGTCAAATATTAAAGGTATGGGAAGCATCTTGTAAGGTTTCCACTTCATTAACAGCGGTTATGATTTAAGACTCCGCTCGTATTTCGTGTCGCTGCCCTCATCATTAATATGTTTTTTATAATCGTTCATATCTTGGTCTCTGTTTAAACACGTGTGTATTTTGTCACATTATATAATCGTCCATCAATATATGTAATTGATATATTGACTTATTGTCAACTTTAAGTTAAATAATTTACAAACAAAACAATGTTCATTGTGTAGAGAGCCGTCACTATTAATGTAGTAAAACGATTAAATATATAATTCATATATCATAAGTGTTTCATTAAACAGAATTTATTTAAGACACGAACTAGTCTCATACCCTTTTCGAATTCTGTACAACGTAACTGTATTTGTAAATATAATATTTATTGTATTGTTAAACACTTCACTAGTAGCTGAACATTGACAACCATTATATAGAAAAAAATATAGTAAATATATCTAAATGTTAATCTGATGTAATTAGTTTTTCATAACGCGATAGTTACATAGTCGTATCTGTCGTACCGGATACGATACCAATTAAAACGTGTCCGCCACATTCGACACATCATTTATAAACGCCATTTAAAAGGTTAAAATTAACGGTGTGGTTTACGAAAACAAAAACCACATGTACAGAGCGCGCTGCTGTGAGCTGTGTTGGCTGTGTGTTTGTTTGTCACGCTCTATTAGCGACGCGGACGCCCACTGAAGGGAATGCTACAAAATTTCACGCTAACCAATTATATGAATTTTAGTGTCGTATTCGACAGTTTTTGTGGCTTTGGAAGTGACCCAATATTATGAGGAATTATCGCAAGAAAAATATTTATTGCCTTAGTAAATAATATTCGCAGGACGTTAGTAAATCATTTGTTCTAACCATATTTTTTCTGTCTTTCCAGGTGAGTAAAACCGAGCAGCGGTTCAGTAAGTAATGTAATGTATAACGACGCCGGTCGGACCGTATGTGGTCTAATGTATCCTACACATATATACACATATATAATTTGGCTGTCAGTACAGTGCACTTGTCCCATGTGTGTCATGGCCGGACGGAAAATCTGCGCCGGCGCAGATTGGAGTTACATAATGAGTGACCTAGTAGATGAGTGCTCGCGCGCACTCGCACCACACACTATGTGGGTGATTATTATTTGAATGCTCGATAAAACTATGTGAATACGACGACACAATGTCGCTCGAGATGCACTACTTGCAAAGATCATAATTGTGATTTCATTTCATATAATTTTTATCATAATTTTCACATAAAACCAGATCAAGCAATTCGATATTTTAATTTGTTCTGTCTGTTTGTTGGATGTTTATGAAATTCGTTTCATATAATGGTCCTTCTAGTTCAAATATCATGTTGATAAATTTCGTTAAAATCTCAATCGCGAGTCAGGCGAAGAGGAAAAAAATGACAAAAACACATCCTCCAGCTACATAACCATAATACAATCTCACTCATTATTTTCATTTTAAATGTCTTAACGTCAACGATCATATTATTTCTGTACGATACTAGATTTTCCCCCGGCTTCCCTCGCGAGTCCCGTCGAGCAAAGATCACGATGTCGTTTATTTATTATTCAAGTAACAGATATCTTAATAAAAAATAACTTCCATATAGATTGGGTTGTTCTCGCGGGATTTAGTAAAGAACATTCGTATGTTCCAAGTATTGTATTAATTTTAAATAAGCAGGCTTTCCTTATGGTAACATTCTTTTTATTATTACAAGGTTGGTGACTTCCAACGACTCGTTTGATTTAAACTTTTAGACTAACCATCAGTTAGTTAAACCATCGGTAACAGCTCTAACATAGAACTTTCAATAAACGACGAAAATTTTTTTGTGGTATAATGTTTGCTGATCACTCAATATACATACATGTTCACTCTCGATCATGAACCTATGTGTGTACAAAAGTTGCATTGTTTTAGTTACAGCTGAATATTATTTTTATCTGCCAGTAACAGTGTAAGCGCGGGAATCATACATATATAATCAATGAGCCGTTATTGTAACACCGCCATCCTATACAAGGATGGTCGGTTCGTGTGTTTTTACTGTACCTACACTAGTTCAGTATATTTTTTGCGGACGGTACATGCAACAGTCCACAGGCTCGTATCAAACACACACACACACTCGTCCAAGGTCCATGTCGCAACACGACATGTCCGGTCAACTTATGTGTCCGTTTATTTTCGTACGTTCTGGACTTTCAAGTTTGTGCAACAACATGTCATTATTATTAAAGACACATAGTTGTGTATAATATATGTATTATAACAATTACCAGAACACATTCATATCTTGAACATTTAATCTTTTAGTAATTTCCAAATTCGATGCATTCAAATTTATATGGGAATCTGATCAAGTGAGTCGGACGGTTAAGGCATACTTCGGTGTTGTGATCAAGAGTTCTGGTTGCGTCTTCCCACCTTCCTCGAGGACTGATCCTCATCATGTTTAATATTCTCGTCATCAGGAATATCCTCATGAAACTACAACTTTAACATCCTTAATATGGCTAAAAAATATCCCAGGAAAAACAGTCTATTTAAATAAAACTAATATTTTTCGGATATACCTACTACATAGTAGCGTAGCGTAGTATGTAGGAAAAAATATTGGTTTCCTTTAAATGAACAAATTTCGCGAAAATCTTAGATCTCTTTAAAACAGCACTCTATGGATGACTTTTATTAAAAAATCTATGCCTAAAACCTAAAGCCAGTAAAATGCTAGTCGAGGTATCTTTAATTCTCATACCACGTATCTTTATAGAATAGAAGTTGACTGAGCATAGATTATTATTATATGTAGCCTAAAGGTGTACTGTTTGGTTTAAGAATCCCATCTTTGGAACTTCCTTCTCTGTGCTGGTGTCGCTGAATGTGTTCTTATATAAAAAATATATGTATTATGTAATCAGAAGTACAACTCAGGATAAAGTCATACTAGACGATTGTGATAGAAGATAGTTGCCATGCTAGGTATTTACAAGAAGCGGTCCTGATAGTTATATCTGAAGCATAAAAGTTTCTAAATTACGTTCACATGTTATAAATTGTCTGTGAGTGACAAAGCTATAGGTGATTTGTGTCAAATTAGGCTCATTTCTATGGTAAGGATCTCGCTCGGTGCATTAGGACCGGTTCACCTCCGTATGTGGGACAGGACGCGGGCTGACATAACATACACCAATATGAAAGGCACAAACACACACTGACCTCAAACACTACTCCACGGAGCCGGCGAATGTACATACACGACCTTCGGATAAAAGTAACCACGCTAACAGCATCAGGCCGGCGGACTCTCGGAACTCATCTCATGTTGCAAAACAACAGAATAATATACCGCCGAATAAAGATCACGATGTCTCTGAACGGATTCAATATGGCCAATCATTTTTTATAGCCATTAGACTAAAAAGGAGCATTCGTGTCGCCGGCTCTAGGCTGCGGCGGCGGAGGCAATGACGACCTTATCGCACCAGGAATAAGGAATCACACGACTGCAGGCGAGCGATCGATCGAGTCGGATACGGCCGCGGCGGCTGCGAGCGAAAACGAGTTCTAAATACATAGCGATGAGGTCGAGTACGGGTCGGCGGCGTGACCGGCTTAGAATCTAGGGCGAGCGCCTTGAGAGTTGCATTTACATGTTCCGACCTCGCGAGGGCGCTGATCTTTGTCCTTAGTCGGCTTGCGGACCGCTGCGGCGGCTGCGGTTTCCTTCCTTCCCATCTATGTTTTAATTTTAATATTCTATATAATAGTTGAACGTTCTCCGCTCAGTGTTTCCAAATGTTCGGAAGGTCGGCTACCGAACCGGTATGACTTCTGGTGTCGTAACACAGATGGCCTGTTACGAATCGGCTTCGATCTGTACAGTTCCGTAAATACAGCCGCGGCTGAATATTACAAATTATTTTCAATGGATTAATTTATTATACAACCTTTCTTATTACGAGCATATGTTTGTTAAAGTTATACATTAAAACGGATAACTACAATCTAATCAATAGAAACGAAGCCACTATATATCAGAAATAAAAAAACTTATATATGAACAACAAACAGACAAATAATTAAAATTGTTTACCAGACTCTTATAAACAGTGAACTGAGTCAACACATCATATTTCTCAATACATTTAAATTCTGTTTCAATGAAATGATCTGAATATATTTATTATTGAGGAAAATATTAAAGGAATATTGAAAATAATATATTTCACATTAAATTTGCTACATATATTATTTTTGATCCATTAATAAAGTTTAAGTAGAAACAAAATATATATGTCGCAAGCGAAGCCGGGTTGCGTCACTAGTGTAATTGAAATGCATCGCACGCGAGTACTGATATACGTTCAGCTTCTGGGATATCACGCTATGGATAAGACTCTTCATAATATTGTAATAGAAAAAAAATATACCTACAATGATTGTTTTAAATATTCAGAAATAAATTTTAAGGAAGATGAATTTAGATTAGAACACTTAGGATATTAAATTATAAATAGTACATTCATAACAGTGTTGTGTGTGTGTCGTGTGTCTGCGCCAGTCCCCGTGCCGCGTGTCTGCGAGGGCGTGACGTCAGCGCGCTGCATTGACCCACATAGCGGGTTCAGCAGCCGCCAGAGGCCGTCTTCGCCAATCTCGTTTATCAGTTGATACTTTAACGGAGCGTCTGCAAGGCCGCTCGTATTATTCAATTTTAACACTTCATTACTATCGCGATTACCTTCTCTATTTGTTACTCGGGACCTACTACTACGCTATTCAAACATTCCTCGATAAATAATACACGGCGTGCGGGACATTTTAATGTTAGCTTAGGTTACTGATCATATATAACACGAGACGCCAGATGAAAAACATTATCTACTAGTTTATAATAGAAACAACTGTCGTCAAATATTATTTTATAGACTTCCACGCTAATAGTACGAAACTTCTCAATATTACAATTTTCGACATCATTATACGATACTTTTTCTGTAAAATTTGACAATAAAACGACTTGATTCAAAAGAAAACGTAATAAAAACTATAGAAATACTAAATTCTAATTTGTATAAACATAAAAGTGTAAAAAATATTATCTATCAAATAAAATTAATCGTCTAGGTCGCAACTTCGCTTCAACTTGTTAGCTATTGAACACTCTTGATCGGAAACAAATTGAATCTCCAGTAATTATTATATTTATATAAATCCATATATCAACAGTTTCTACGTTTCAATGTACTTAAACAAACAGACTTACAGACTATTTATATATTAATACCATACAGTAAATCTAGTAAGTTTTTTGTATTTCACAGTAATATGTAGGGAATATATATAAATATATACTCGTACATCAATCATTCAAACACTCACGACAGCTGAAACTGCGGATAGATTCTTTAACAACTCATTATACAAGTTCCAAAATTCTCACAACTCACAAAGACACGTCAATACCTTTATGAAACTATAACCCTCCCCCGGGTTTACGCGCGTCACTGAGAAATGAAATAGTTTTTACACACTTCAAATGATCAGTCTATCATTAACAATTTAAAGACGTATTAAATCAACCCTAATTCTTATAATCAAAACTGTAACACACAAAACTTAAAGTATCATAAAGTACTTGTAATATTGTGCAATAATATTAGACGGTACAGTTGTGAGTTACATGACCCGATGTTTGATATAAAGCTGAAGGTCTATTCCTGGAGTCGGAGTCTAGGAGCCTGAAGGACGTCACTCCTCACGGGCCGACGATCTCTCCGTCTAGAGGACACCACGATACAACAGAAGGCGTTCCTCACTCAATTATAATATTACCACTCCACCCACCACACACACACACACACACACACACACGCTGCTCTGTACTGTATGGGTGACAACACGATACCTGAACTTTCCACTGTTATAAAAACCGAATTTAATGTTCCATCATGAAATATGCCACTCGATCGATAGATTTCTAAAGGATAATATATAATAATAAACCAAAAATCATAAGATTTAAAGAGTAATGTGATTTTTTTGTGCTTATAATTCGTCAAAGGAATAGTCGATACTAAATAAAAGGAAGCGATTATGTATAACGAGTCACTCGACATACTGAACGCGTCTCGACAAGTTAATGTATCTAAAACATTATATAAAGAGAGGGTTAGTCTTCAAACATAATATTTAATAATAATGAAGTAACATTCATTAAATAACACAGATACTGTATTACATTACACCCGTGCATAACACTGGGGAGTCGTTGACTGTTCGTCTGGAGGACGAGCGGACTGGGGGGACCTGGGAGGGCCTGGGGGGGCCTGGGGGGCCAGGGTTCAACGCATCCAGTAACCACCTCGCCATATTGAAAGCTGAATGACTGCAGCTCAGCTGTACGGTTAACATTAACTGACTGAACGATAAATAACACAAGATACAAACAACGGGGTAGAGAACGTACACAATAAAATAATAGAATAAATACAAATGAAATTCAGTTAAAGAAATAAACATCAGCTTAATTATTACAGAGAACAATATTAATTATAGTGTTGTTGGGTCTCGTCTATATGAAGAGATAGACAACAAGAGACGCGACGTAAATAATTATGAAGCGATCCTGTAATAAATATTTAAAGTGCGAGTTAGTAGCGGGCAGGTGACGGCCGCAGACGACCTTCAGGAACCTTCGTCTGGAATATGACATGGAGAGATACGAAGGACGCGATGATAACGATGTGATACTACTGGCACTGGATACTACTAATAGTATGATTGGCACTACAATATAACTATCATTATAAAATGTTTAATTTACATATAGCTACGTTATATACAGTTATGTATATATATATAGCAGTTGTGTTCATATTAAGCCGTCGTGTCGTTGCACTGTAGTTTCCGAGTGAGTGTAGTAGCTGCCCGTAGAGCGTCCTCTACGGCGTAGCTCGACCTCTAAACCGTAGAGGTCACTTTGCCACCACCCCCCACCCCCCTGGGACTACTATTCATATAACAAATTAATGAAACGGACAATAATAACACAAATAATATACATCCGGAAATATACAACTTGTAATATGTGTGTGTGTGTGTGTGTGTTCAGGTCCAGACGTCCACTTGACCTGGAAGGCCACTCCTCCATCATTAACACCTCAAACATTTCATTCACCCATCATTTATACGGTTGGTTACACAAACAGGTTCGGCCATACCTAATAAATAAAAATGTCGTGATACAGTAGTCTTTATTACAGCTAATGACTACTGTTTATTACAACACAATGTAGTAAGTAGTCAGTAGTGTAGAGTCTGTAGTGTCGTTTCAGCATGACGTTCACCCCGTCTCCTTCCGACCGTCGACCTACCATCACACCGATAAGGTTCTGTCAAATTTGTACTAAACCAATTAACTCGTAACTCGTAACCAATGTTAATATCGTGTTTCGATATAGAGCCTTCTACAGGTGAAGATGATGCTGGGACACTATTTAAATATATTGATAATTTGATCTAATATAGAGTTATATGAAAGTTTTGGAAAAAATAAATCTTTCGTATAAAATGTAATTAAAATAGACTAATAATTTTTGAACGTCAGTGGACTATACATATATCAGAGACAACAGTTAGTAATCAATAAATGTGTTCTGTTCAGTGGATGAGAGCCAGCCTCCTGAATATTACATGTCCGGTCCGTGTTTGTTTAGGGTCGCTAGTTATGTACACACATACACACACATACACACACACACAACTGAATATACATATATACATGAAACATAAAAAAATCTTCCAGAAACATTTAACACATCAACTTATTACAAATTTTACGTAATAACAATATATTCTGTACAGCTTAGTCAAATATAAACCATACAATGAGTAAGAGCTTTATCGAGTATTCATATAAATTAAACATATTATTTGAATTACTACGCTTATTTTACTGTTTAAAAAACTGTACGCCCGACGTTTCGGTTATGTTGTATATAGTATTTAAAATAATGAAATTCTTGTAGTAATCCAAATAATATTAGTTTCATGTATATAAGCCATACAGTCAGTGAGTTACACTCTCGTATAGTACAGGTAATAGTAAGATCTACTTTCGCGAGTATTCATTTAAAGTCAATAGTGTTTATTAAAAATATAGTTACAATATAACTCAGGCCTGTATGTAGGGAACACTCTCATGTATGTACCTACTCGGACTACAGATGAAATCCTTTATATATAAATATACACATACGAAAATCACACTAAATAATATATTAGTTTACATCACTACTTAAAGTAAAGTCTGGAGAATATTATATTAACGAATATTTAATTTCATTAAAATTATTTTTATAATATTTCTTAGAAAGTGTTCGTACTAAAATATTCCCAAAGAGATTTGATTAAATCATAACTCGTGTGCTTAGTCTGAGTTTCCATCGTCACACTACATACGAACGTTAGCTCGTTTCCCGTGACATATTCAGTAACCTAGGTTTATAATGTACTGAAAAACTGTTAACGCTACGTGTGTAGTGTGTCGATGCAGACTTGTACTAAGCGCTGTGAGTTGAACCAAGTTCATATTTGTCGGTCAGTCAATGTTACCATTAAATGCTTTCGTTTCTTGAAAGCGGTAATTTTTCTAAACTACCCTTCATCCCCCTTACTGGTGAACTCTAGTTCTCATCAATGACTTATCGACCTTCCACCACGTCACGCTTCACACAGAAATAATTCTAATTCTATACTTTCATAACTCATAAGTATATGACCTCACTGCGTCTGAGAACGCGGATTACTTTATTTTAATTATCTCATTTAAAGATATTCAAATATACTTTATATAACTCACGATACAGTTTAGAAAGACGTTACAGTTTAGAATAACTCGAAAACATTTACATTTTATTCAGAATGAATTCGACAAAGCATTTTTTATTCAATATTATCCTTATACATAGTGTAACTCTTAAGAAATCATAAAGAACTGATTCATAGAAACAAACAGAATCACTCTCTTCTGAGTCGGTTAAATCCTGTCATTCTCGTTCTGATGCTGGAGAGAAGTCTCCGCGTGACGCGTTAGAGAACATATCGAACCGCATGTGAAGCGGACCAGGAACACTACATGTACATACTATGATACTGAGTCTCCATTGTTGTGTGACTTAACAATCAATGTAACATAACTTTAAAAATGCATCTGTTAGGAACTCATTCCACGTCCAGTTTCAGACGCTGCCTTCCTCTCGTGCTACATGTGTTGTTGTAATCCTTATATATTCCCAGGACGTGTTATGTAAGGTTCCTTATGTACCTCCTCGTGACCCATTTTTCTCTCATCTTACATAAAGCCGTCAGTTATGAGCGTGACGACTCCATTTGTCGGGTTAACGCGAGTACTCCCTAAACGCGGGGTAATTAATAATTTACACGCACACATCCACCGCCGAGCACACCCACACACCGGCGGGGCCCGTGCCGACAGCTCACACACACACCCACACCTACACACACACAGACACCGGACGCACACAGAGGCGGGCGTCTAGACGACTTGTTAAACTGCGATGTTCCGGGACTGGCGGGACTCGTGGTTCGTGAGTAGGATAGGTCACGGACCGCTCTGTCTCCGTCTCCCTCCAACTCACGGCTCCGTCCTCATCTTCCCTCTCAAGTCTCGCCGTCGATCGAATACCGTTCTTATCGGCGCGGATCAAAACACGAATTCCCTCGACACGAACGTCAGGTATAAATTTCGCTTTCGAAGCTCCGAGCCACTGTTTCAGAAGAGTGTATGACTGTTGTGATTTATATGAAATTAAATTCTATCATGTTGGATTAAGGGCGAATGTCGCTAGATCGGAGAGTTAGGCCTTTCCAGGTCTCCCGGCATGGCTAGGTTCGTCCTTGGTCGGTCGGGACGAATTAGACGGGAATAATAATTTATGTAAATGTGCGAGAGTGTGTGAATGTTTGTGAGTGTGCGTGAGTGTGCACACAGTCTTGTACATAGCCGGCCGCGTCTGTGTGTGTGTCAAACATAATGTTGTGCCGTGTGTCTGTTTGTTTTCCACCACATCTCTCCTGTGAAGGGTAGTCCTGCCGAATCTCTTTATTTTTAAATCCATTTCTTTATCTCCCTGATACCGTGCACGCTTTTCATCTGACCCGTCAGTCGAGCTTCAGATCAATACCGTACATACTCCACCTATCAGTACCAGTCGCTGTAATTCATCGGCCCTTTGTTAAACATTGTCAGGAGCACAATCGTCAGATGAAAATTAATTTTTAATTCTAACTTATCATTTTAAAAGTGTAAGTATTCTCGATCAGTGATGTCGGTACAAGTGTTCAGACTCCTTGAACTGTAACCAATGATACGTAGTCTGTGCTCCCGTGTCCGTAACCCTTGAACCAGCCGGCCGGCGTGTCCCAGACGTGTACACCAGCCGTTCCTTACCCTGCGGAGTCTTCCGAGACGCCCGCCCACCGCCCTCCGTCTGAAGGTCGTCCGGGAGGCCGTTCACCCTCCGTCTACACCCCTGGAACCTCCAAAAATCCTCTCCCTCTACCCCTACCCCCTCCCTTCCCAGTCTGTCAGTGTGTGTGTGATCCACACTAGCAGGGCCGCTCCTCTATGATCGTTGGGTAACGTTTTCATAACAACGTATCAAATTATCTAAATTTGTTTCAGAATTACTTTTATTATTTTTATATTTCGTCGGCTTTTTATTTGAAGCTCCCGAGCTCTCGTGGATATTACAAATAACTGTAAATGTTAGCGACGTTATATTAGAGCTGTTACTAGGAGCCTGGATGCTATACCTACTGAGTTACCTATGTACACGTAGTTACATTAATAAATCAATTCTCGTATAAAGAGTACAGTCGACCTGTTTATGATAATATGAATTAGGAGACGCTCGTCACTATTTGTTATATGTATTATTTCGAAGTATTTCTCATTTCCATACTTTCATCCAGATGGCCGTAAAACATGTGACATTTTAATGTATAAACTACAGAACGCACAACATATATGTATAGTCTGATCGATTCCTTTGTTATGCATAGCAACAGATATTTTTAATGGTTAACACGATTAAATGTTAGATATGTAATCTTTTGATGATGACTAGAATCCTGTCTTCAGGAGACGGGACTATTCAGATGAACCCAGGTCTATAACAAAAGAAAGACACTACATCCAGCACTAGGATAACAGAAAATAAATCACATTACATGCTCATTGAAACCTTATATTATATAACGTTCGAACATTGTACTAGTGGGAGCTATCTCTGTATTATATATTGTTACAATAACTAGACAACTACGGGGTCTCTCACATGTGTATCTGTTATAACCAAACTGATGATATAAATTTTGTTTCAGGTAAACATTACATCTTACTTCAGAATCGTAACGAACATTTTTCACATCAAACAGGTGAGTCTACTCAAACGTTAAAACAGTTATTATTAATATGCAGTTACAATTACAAAGGTTATATTGTATTAAGAGTCATCATTATCGGTCTGTAGGCTGGTACACGTACATTGTAATGGGTCGTTAGTTAGTTACAAGGAGGCCTGTCTGGAACAGCGACAAACCCTCGCGACCTTCACTGTACATGTCTGAAACTGTTTTCTCTCTGTATATCTGACAGAATTTCATCGTGATTCAGCTCGGGGCGGTTCTCATACATATATTAGTGTACTGTTGTTTAGCCTCCAGTATTCATATATAGAATAATTTATTTACGAATATATAATATACAAACGTTCATGAAGTTATATAGGGAACTTTATATATACTGAAACATTAAAACATCGACTGTTTCCTCGGACTACGTCTGAAAGAAGCCGCGGTCCATTGACAACTTTCGTGTACGAGTTTGTGTGTGTGTGTGTGTGTGTGTGTGTGTGTGTGTAAGATGTACACGCGATGTCTGTGTGTGCAGGAAGAAAGTGCATTCTGCACGGCCGCTAGGCCACGGAAACTAGACATTGAACACACGACAACACTGATGAAGACATCTACAGAGATGCTGCACATCTGACACACTTTACATTGTGACGTCAACATGTTACGGACATCGGGGAGTTATCGGGTGTTAGGAAAACGATTAAAACGTGGTCACAGGACTTGTAGCTTACTTTAGGATCGGTTTTATACGATATTACTATGTCTCACATTATAGATTCGTCTTTATATCCCGTATGTTCCATCATATCTCGAGACCATACATCCTAAACGCATACTCTCGTACAACTCTAATCGTTCGAGCGCGTCTCGTTTCCCTTTCTTTTCATCTTTATCTTACTTATTATTTTATATACACTGTGTACAGGCGGCCTTATTTATCATCATAGTATAATAATTATAAACACATAATGAGATCTAAATTCAATATATTTGTAATTGGACTTCATTACGTTGATTATGTCTGCGACTGACTGAGAAATTCTATAAATTTGTGCTAATAATTAGGTATCCTAAATAGATTACAGTCTAGACGTAGTTCTCGGAGGCCTTGTAGCCCACAGGCTGTACGAGTCTACGTTATTTATTCAACAAACACAGCCCTCGTAAGGCCGCCTCTCCGTGTATCTGGATAATGATTTAACGTTCTACAATATTCATGGCGATGTATACATATACTAGCGTTACATTCAGAGGAACTTGACATAGACTCAACAGTAAATAATATTATAATGACTTAGAGTATCTGTGACGCGCTAGGAGCGGACACTAGGACTTACAGGCGTGAAGAGAGTTAGAACTCTAAAACTACTGTTGTTCTTAACTATTATAAAGAATTCATACCAAAAATTACGTTTCAGAAGCATGTCGTAGGTGAAGCTCTGTTTAAAATACAGGTTTATCGAACCAAAATCTCTTTTCAGACATGACAATGAAATTTATTACTTAAAGTATATTTATCACAGGTATCTTAGTGTCAGGTATGCAAGAATTTAGCACGAATCTGTGTTGTTATTAACAGATTTACACAAATATTACATGCTTAAAGATTCCACTGCTAGTGGGAGTCACGTTCCGCGGGAGACGGGAGGAGCTCGCCTGAATCATGTATGAATCCTTCAAAAACATTTTTTATTTGATTCTAAGTGATTCGTTATGCAATACTAAATATCGTTTGTAGGTCGGCGAGGTGACTGCGGTTAAAACGGTCACATTTCTCCGCAAAAATAATGTTAAGTAGTGTTATTTTAACATACGCGACACGAATATATATCGCTCCATATCGATCCCGGCCGGAGACGAGAGCTCACCCAAAAAATATCATTCATATTGAAAATATACGGCCGTTTACACTACATCCCTCGTCGGCTAGAGCTTGACACACAGACTAGCACTCGACCGCGTCTTCTTCCTCCAACACGTCATCAATCATCAGAACAGCCCTGTATACCTGTTCTATACTCACTCTAATCAATAACTCTCCACACTATATTCTCCGGACTGCTTTTCCTTTTTCTTCTCACGACAGTTTTTCTATAAAACAATGTCATAATTGCTCCGGTTTCCACTTTCAGTTTCGCTGACGTCGCAAAAACACGAGCGACTGGTACAGTCGGCGGAAAAATAACAAAACTATCTTCAATAAACTGAAATACTAAAACTTGAAATATAAATAGGTTATTAGAGATTTAATATGGAACATTTTAACGTTCTTTAAGTGGTGGTAGAATATCAGTGTTAGTAAATATACATTATAATCTGACGGCAGTACTTTCCCCGCGCCGCGCACCGTACATATCGTAACTCGTTCTGTTTACCTGTTTTCACTATCTATACACTTCTCGTAAGTGAAAATGCCGTCATTACCGCGCTTTTTTTCACTCGCTGCATTGTGATGTGCATCTGAACGACACGCTCATACACGAGATCACTGGACCACGAGAACACTGCTATCAGTGGACAGCGGGCCTGGGGCCGAATATATGTTATGATGATGTACGGACAGATAACATGGAATAAAATAATATCATTGACTAATGAAGTAAAATTGACATGTACTTTGAGAGTTTTCAATTAGTTTTTATAAAAATGTTTATTAGTGTCATGTATGAGGATTGAAACCGCGGTATCCAACTATTAATATATAATAAATTTCTCAATTAAATCTATAATATGCGGGTTGTGATATCTCCGTTTGTTTAGTTCGTCTCCAGCACCGCCTCCGTCCGTGAGGAGGTAAACACTTGATTTCAGTAAACACTCCGTGTCAGGTATCGTGCGTCTGTTACTACACCTTTAAATAAAGTAGGACTCGATATTACATTCCAGAACAATCTTACCAATACTATCTACAAAATAATAATATATTGTCTATGGTTTATTACAGTCCACGGTCCGCGGAGCCGGAGATCGAATAGATACTAATATTTTGTTGTCGTCATATATAATTTCTATTTTGTTGGGACGGTCAAACATGATCAGATATGTGCATATTACACGCAGCACGCGAGATGACAAACAAAAACAAAAAGCCACCGCGACAACTGTAAACGCCTCCGTCGCGAAACAAAAATGGCCGCCAATTAGTTTAAGAATGAAGTAACCAAACATAACCTAATCCAACCGGCGCCTCCACCGGATAGGTATACTATTTATATTACAAAAAAAAACACACAACAACCAGTCTTCCTGTGCTAATCGCTGCCAATTACAGGCGCGCGAGTGTGTGTGTAACCTTGAGCCCGTCCAACGACTGCACTTGATGCGATGTGTGTTCGGAAACACGACCATGCACGGACATACTGTGCAGTATAGATGATTGATAAACAAATAATAATTACATCTGGTGATAAAAAGATAAATAGACGTGTTAGTGATTACAGGGTTTCGAATAACATTCAAAATATCACAATCAATGACATAATTAAATTATTGTAAACGAGGCAGTAATAGACGTTTTGGAATTTTTTTGAAGAGTTATAATTATTTTGGTTCACATTTAATATGAAAAAATAAAAAATATTTATTTTTTAATATAATATCATACATATTCGAACGAGGCAAGTTTATAATTGCATTATTCGTAACGAGTATCCGGTCGTGAGGATCTACTGTACACCGCCACCGGGTCGTGCGTCTCTTTCCCTCTCACTCTCTCCCGTATACAGCGGTCACTCTCACTCGCGGATAAATTGACGGAGGAAGAGAAAGATTGATGATTTAAGAATTAAACCGCTCCTACCCTCACAACTAACTCGTGTACTCGTAGTATGATCGTTGAAGTTCCGTTGCTCGCTAGTTTTTGTGTCGTTTCTATTTATAGTTGTATAATTTCATGTATTCAATACAAGGAGCGTCTTATAAGAAGCTTATTTATGACCGCGACCACTCGCATTATATTCTCAATAGAACTGTTTTACAACTACACACTACACTGACCGGCCTCAGATGTTGTCATAGATTCATTTATAATGTAACGGGGATGGAAAAAATTACGACAATATAATATATCTTATTAGAAACCATTATTAAAAATATCTTTATTATTTATTCTTCTTAAGTTAAAACCAGTATAGGCATGTTACTAGAGACTGCTTCTACTAGCTATTTCCATATTATACGTTCACTTAAAAAGTACAAATATCAGTCTACATATATATGACTAGTTCTCTAAGTATAGTATATGTTTGGAGTGTCCTAACGTGGTCACCGTGAGCGACCCCTAGTCACCGCCAGGCCCGCCCATGAACCATACATTACTATCGCGTATTATTCGACCCCCTCATATTTGATAATTACCAAATTATCTCAAGTTCAACTATAACAATGTATGTTCCACAATCATTATCTTATTTGTTGTTATAACACTATGTATCTCCGTCGGTTCCTACTTCTCATTGGAGTAGTTCCAAACCTGATTCTCACTAATAAACATATGCAAAAATTCTTATCTGTTAACATTAACACCTCTAATTTTATATTTTAATGTTTTCTTTGTTGTTTTGACATTGTCGCTGGGAGGACATTTTAAAATTTCAGTCCCAAAACAGAACGATACAACGATACATATGTTTTAAGGAAGCTAATGCTCGTTATATTAATGGTACATATTGATTGAGTCCTAATCATCACCGGGAGTCGTTCCGTCCACTCTATGTTTCACCTTGAAAGGAGATTATGTAAATTTTCCTCAATAATAATTCCGATAAGCCAGCGGCGCTCCCCCGGGGTCGATGACCGATCTGATGAGATAACAGCTGACCCGCGATACCGGCCCGGCATCTTAGATAACACTTGGAACCGCTGGACATCTCCGTCCCATAACCCATTAGATGGACGGTGTGTGGACTCCTTCACTTATTATACACCCTAATGTACATCCTACATACACACGTGATCAATACACATGTAGGTCAGACAGGCTAGACCTGGGCCCAGGTGACATGGCTCGATACAGTTGCTCCCAACACCTGGAACGCTTCACTTCTGTCCCTTACATCATACGTTACAGTAATTACGAAGTCAAAGTCGTCCTACACTCCTCCTCACACTATACTGTTACAACACATGTGTGCCTCTCAGTCACTATCAAAGTTTTCCACATTCGCTCCACCTCATTCATTATAATGATCCCAATAAAACGGTGACATTGGTTCTACATTTAATGTAAAGACTCTATCACTCAGACCACTATAACGTGATCCGTGTGCGGAAACTGTTCGCTCGCTCCGGGACCGGCGCGGGGGAGCGGGGGCGCGCGGGGGAGGTCAGCTTACACCGGCCCAGTGAGTGTGTCACGTGGTCTGCGCACGCGCAACATTATTTGTAATGTCGGTCAATGCCCCGTACATTAGATAAAAAATATACGAATTGTTTACGTGGTTCGTTACGCAAATGTCGTTCAGTGATACAATTAGGTTTGTTTATTGTAATTAATCCTTAAAGGACTGAGGCTGCTCCGACGTACTCTCGACGTTTCGTATCATATCATTTCTGTTTACTCGTCTCTTTAGTTTCATTAATAAATTACACGAAAAACATGAACCCCCGCGGCGGACGGCCGACCCTCAGGACACATCTAGAACACTAGGATCATAGCGAAACATGGACAGTATTGTTCCAGAAACCCTTCCTTAACAGAAATTTATCAAAGAAATTAAACTCGAAAACAAATTTCCTCTGAAAATTATATGAAACATCAAAGAGACGCCTCACGTTATATACAATGAACGGGGCTCGGTGAAAACCTGTCTAGCGACTCGGGAAACTGAGGAAAGCTCTCCGACGAAAGTGGAAAAAGCTCACACACACACACACACACACACGGCGAGACGCGAGCCTGTGTGTGTGTCGGTGGGTGAGAGTGTGTGTGTCGGCGTGTAGCGAGACACGCACACGAAGACGGCGTCGAAAACGAAAGTGTCCGAGCGGAGCCGACGGCGGCCGAGCCGAGCTCACCGAGTCAGTGGAACTCAGCGACGAAAGTGGGACATCAGTCCGCGGTACGACGCGATACACGGCGGACGTGCGCACAGACCGCACAGAGCGCACAGGCCGCACACACACCGCACAGGCCGCACAGGCACGCTCAGTGACATAACCCGGAGCCGCCACCATGGCGGCCGAGTGAAGCGACCCTCACCATGATGGCTGTGGAGAGTCGACCGGCCAGCGCCGGCCCGGAGGCGCGCAGGGCTTCGGCCGCGGACCGACGGGCGATGAGCGCGGACTCGGAGCCCCGCACGCTGGCCGCGCGGAAGGCCTACCCCGACGACGACGGGGACGCTCCTCTGGACCTCACGGTGCACACGCGCAAGGAGATAGCCGTCAGAGACTTCGCCCGCCACCCGTTCGCGGACCCGGCGGACTACGTGCGGGCCCAGGCCATACTGAGGCAGTCCAGGGACTTCCTGGCCCCGGGCCGGGACTCCGGCACCGACTCCGACGACTCCGCGGGCCGCCTCAGCCCCGAGGACCCCACCTCCGGGAAGGCCTACAAGAAATCCCTCATGAAGAGATACAGTAAGTCCATACCTCGAGCTGTTCCGCTCTCCTCGGACGATCAATCTCCCAACTCTCTATCTCCAGAGACATGTTAGCATCATGTTATTATTATCTCGTATCAGTTATAACAGAATGTTGTCCATCATGTTTTTTATTTTTCTCGAGAGTTTTTCTTAAAGTAAGAGTGAGCATAACTGCACATAAACCTGTCGTCTACGCCGTAGAGGGTCTACGTGTGTCTACGTACTGATAAGGACGGTGTTATGCAAACGCGAGCATAATTATATTTATTTGTATTGACTCGTATAATATAAGTTAGCATGTTACATACTGGCCTGACCTCATTCAGGATTGACTCATGTCTTGTAATCTGTTCACTCGTTAAAGAGATTCTAAAACAAAATAATTAAAAGTAAACGAATTCGATAACTTATAATAAAAGGAAAGATTCATATTAATAAAATAATTTATTTCATAAAAAACATTAAATCCTATTTAAACAAATCATTCGGATACAGTTAAGTAAACATCATTGTAGAACGCAAACAACAATTATTATCAAACAATAGTTCTAGAAAAGTATCTACAATGAAAAATACACTCCAAGGAAACACTTGAATGGTGACGACATTAGAACAATAATATTTAAGTTAAATAAGTAATAGTGTGACTTAGTTAAGTAACATAATGTATGTTATAAGTGTCTCTGTCTGTCTGTGAGTCCTGGCCCTCGCGTTACATCACTACTGTACTTACAGCCGTACATTCGATACATTTAATAATAAAATAAATGTCAGCATGCATTCAAATGTTTCCGCATACGAGGTAACATACATATAGTACATCGACACCACGCCTATAATGAAATACTTCAAACGTTTGGAAATAAATACAGAACAATATTAGCTTAAATATTTTAATATTAGGAAGCCTTACTTATAAAATATTGTATCACAGTTAGGGAAGGAGAGCATCGCCTCCGTACAATAGATGACGTACGGTTAATATGAACACAATGTAATCACGCCACAGACAGTCATAACATATATATATAGAAACAGGCTTCCACTACACTATATATATAATAAAATCATATATAGTTTCCTCACACACTTTTACCATTACAACAATATGTTCAGTATACTTGTTTGTATGAATGCAATTTTAAAAGTTTTTAATCGTTTTAAATAGCAACTTATCTTTATTAGGCTATAAGACAATTCATTCAGAGTTTCTTTTTCTCGTTTTGTATATAATAACAACAAAAAAATAGTAAACATAAACTAACATTAATAATTTAATGTTCTGGATTGGATTTCATCTTCAATACAAGTTTAACTGAAGCTAGTCAGTAGTTGAGTAATGATTGCTTAATACATTCTTTACTTAATTTTAAAATTTAAAGTATTTATGGATGATAAATATGAATTATTTTGAAACAAAGAACTCGCCAATAGACTTCACATCTTACTATTTCGATCGTACTATGTATAACATCTCGTGCGTACCTTTAAGGAACTGTTTTATAGTAATTGGTCGGTATAATCGTCGGTACCTCTCGTACGTGTAGCCAGTATGTGGCGAGTCTCTTCTGGTTCGGAGTCGTTCGTGTATTACTTTCTCTGACCACCTCCGACTGGTGTTATGATTAGTTTATCTTATTTATATACTCATACGACATTCACGTGAGTGTCACTCGCAAAACTGTTTTTAAGAGTTTTCCATAAAACCACTGGTAACATTTTCCGGCTTGAAGTTACGCATATTATAACAGAATTTTTCTTAATATTATATTCCCTTACATTCTAGTATTCGTTCAAATTATCAACCAGTAGAAAATTATCACAACAACATTAAAGACACATCTCGCTGACGATGCAAAATGTTGTATTAATATATAATTCTGTAGTGAGTAGAGGCTTAGTGGAACATCGTAATGATAGCTCCTCCTCGTGATCGCTGCATCATCATTTCGCGGTAGCGGGTTCGATGCCCGGTTAGTTCCGAGTACGGACATACGTCTATGATGAGCGAGCACGATTTGTTTTAATACATATCGCATTACAATCGATTGTCATTTCACATAACACGGCCTCTCAAATTATATCGGAACATACACACACACACAACACTAAGGAAGGCTGTATCCGTCTGATGTGGGTCGACCGTACCCGTTCATGACTAATAAAAAATATTCGGAAGTGATCGGCTTTCCTCATTCCCATGAGTATCGAAGAGTTGGTACAGGATACATGCGCCCGCGCAGCTGTCCACGATATAACGCACTGACAAATCACGGTACCTGCGGAAGAGAAAGGCTTCCAAAAAATTATAAAAAAAACTATCCGGAACTTTCATCGAAGAGGTTACACAGGAAATTATACAAATAATAATGCTAGATCAATTAATATATAACAATTATATAGTCGTCGAATACAACAGCGATGATATACAACCGAGAATAATTCAGGACATGTTCTGGGGCAAAAAAATGTTGAAACCCGACAAAAACTACCAAAACAATACAAGTGAATAGTAAAAAATGTTAATATTAAAAGGTTAGCGGCGACACTACGGACGGATGTCAGCGAGCCGCGGCAACAACGAAGTGCATTCTGATTATTAAAAACAGTATCGGACAAACACGAGCCAAAACACACACCATAGAACCGCGATAACTGACGAGGAGTCACTTGCTCTGTAACTATGTATAATGAGCATTAGACTATCCACTTGGTATCACTCCCCGGTCTTCATCTCTTTATTAATATGATATAATGATAGCCACCTCTTACTGAACGGCGTACGCTCTTATCACTGGCATGTGTTTCGGACGGTATATTTATATACAAATGTCAAAGATGAGACAGAGGCCGGACCAAAACGATGCCGACGAGTCTCCCAAACGAACATCCCTCGGAGGCTCGGAGGTTGAGGTTCTCGGAAATATATACACTACGTGTATCATTTATTACATAATAGTCAATTATTAATAGTCGATGGATATTTATACCGAGCCGAGTGACTCGCGCGTCTACCTGTTCCGTCCGATTGAAAACAAAACCTGAATTTTATATGTTTCTTTAGCATTTCTATTACGATCTTATAAACGATATACCTTTTTAAAATTTGACCCTACGTTTATATTTACAGAGGCGATTATAGATTAAGAGATTCCTTGATGTTCTATATTGTATGCGAGGAGAGGGTTAGGAAGGGTTGTCCTTTTTTTTTGAACGACTTCCTGGAACCGTGTCGTCTCACTCGCACCTCAGAGAAATGTAACGGACGAGCGAGATGGCGATAGCTAAGATTTTTTTTAATGCAGTTTCAGTATTCAAATGACATCCGTTTATAGATATTGACTAATAAACGAGCGAGCCTCGCGGACAAAGACGACACTGATACCATGTTAAACTGTTTTACAACTTCCGAAAACACAATAAAAAAGTGCGCAAAAAACTAACAGCCGTATTCATATGGATAGTGTACGATACGAGCTCGGAGCGTATTAGGAGGTTGTGTAATAAAAGTGTGTAAGAGCGTTTGTGTCTGTGTACCTTTTAAAAACTGTAAAGTGCGAATCGGTTGTAATGTGCGCACGCGCAGCGATGGCCGGCCTTCACCCGTCGCGCAAGGCCCGCGTTTCACAACAGACCTGTTAGATTGAGGCCCCGCGGTCCGAACGGTAGCACGATCAAACTGTTCACAAAAAAAAAATCAAGTTGAAGAAAGGACCCACTACACTTATATTAATTATTATCAATATTATAGGTAACGATTACAGACGGTATTATAACTATTTCTATATGAGGAAGAAATGGCATATCTTATTTGTTTTCAAGCCATACGACTCTTTGTTATTTTACCGATATCTTGAGTTAAAAAAATTGACACAGTTTGAATGTAACATGTGATTTGCGGTGCTTTAACTGGAAATAGTTAATAGGGTCAAAGTAAAAAACGGTTTCCGTAACCTAAAACCGTTCACCTTGCTCAGTTCATCTGTCATAGAAAAAAATACTTAACCCAATTTTTAAACGTTTGCTATAAAAAAGCTACCTGCCGGTAGCGGGTACGGCGTACCTACACCCCTCGTGCAAAAAACATTAGTATACAGAACGGTTGTTTAGTGCGGGTGTCGACGTTTACTCGCGGTTTTTTATCGCGAAAAAAATTTACGACTGAGTTTCGTATTCGCAACGGTACCTTTGCTTTTGTCTATTCGCAGATGGTTTTGCAAAAATTTTGGAAAAAAACACTTTATTTATTTTTTGGTCCCCGTTTGTTTCTCAGACAAATGTTTGAATTCTGTTTTGTCAACAATACTTTGATATACAACTTTCTTTTACAATTTATATTGTGTGTTTAAAAAATTGGACACGCGGTCCTTACAAGAGATAAAAATAGTCGTAATGGTCAGTCGTCACTAGCAGGAACAACGTCGATCGTAATAAAAGTCGTATCTCACGGAGTGTGAACAGAAATACTCATAATATAATTATTAATAAATTATCGTCCAGTCTGAATGGACTCAACAAACCTCAGTCTAGTAGTAGTGCGTCATGAGAGTGTGATGTCACCGGTCTTCCGGCCGTTATCCTCCTGCAGTAACTCGATTAAAAACATAATACATTTAATTCCCGCACATATTTTTTAATTCAAACCAAAGCCGGTGTTTGTATAAACTTAACACTAAATTAGGTTCCCGTAAGAACAGCGAGAAGTGATGTTTCAGAGTTAAGACCAGACGATCCGCAAACAATGTAAATTCATGAGAGCAACCTCCGTGCTCGCAGGGAACGTGCTCCACTCAAACGTGGAGTAATATTTAAACATCATTCGTATCATTACTATTGATTTCAACATATTATTTTATAGAGACGTTCCAATAACGTCCGATGTGAACGTCTACAAATTGTTTCTTTGACAAAAATATTATATTTCTCAAGACGTCGTCAGATTATTACTTGATTAAAAATAATCTCGTCCATTATCGAAGGTCTCGGTTCAACGTTCTCCTCCTCTAAACTACCAAAACTTCGACAGGCTCCGTGCTAAAGATAACTCCATAGTTCACAAAAATACCTGAGTCCTAAAACAATAAAGGACTGGACTGTAATTTATTCATTTATTATAGACCGTCTCAATAACTCCTACGAAACGGTTATTTATTTTATATTAACATAACATAAACGCTGGTCGATAAATCATTTAGACACTGTTACTTTCCATCTGCCAGGACTACTAGTGTTCTTATCGTAATGGTCATTGTATCCCAAACATTAATACGAGGCACGTCAGGTCACATCGAAGTCTATATACTGGTGACAATAAATAATATAACAAGTAACAGGGTGTGGACTGAACACAACCATTAGTATGTTTGTGTGAAGGTTGGAGGTTTTTTGTTGAGTTGTTAGTTTTATTTCTCATTCCACACAAAATGTCCTAAAGGTCACAGCTTTCTAGACGCAGACGTTACGCGGGCGACGTGAATTACAATTGATCGCTCGCCTTATGACTATGGGACTGTGACTTAATATTATATACGCCATGATAACTGACGAGTGAGCGGCTCGGAGTTACTGTGACGAAGCTGTTACAGTCACAAGCTGATGGTACCGCGGAACATGAGGAAACGACCGACGAAACTTGGAAAGGATTTAGCGAGACGGAGGCTTTCAAGGTGATTCAGAAACTGAACCTTACCGCAATAGCAATACAGGTGATAGCGTGTGAAGGAGAATTGCGACATGCGGATATTGGGTAAGCCGTGTTGTAAAAATACTAACCGGCCGACGAAAATGAACCTTACAACTGACGGGCGTAGGTCACAGAGTTGTGTAACGTCACGTACGAGAGATTTATGTAATGTTTAATATATATCGATATAATTAATACGAAGTATATCCAAGTGTGTTTAAAGAAAAACGTAACCCATATCTCGGTAGTAACGTACAAAAAATGTAATGTGCTTAAAACACGGCGAACGAGTCGATTTCCTGTATGTGTGTGAAGCAACATCCGGCCGAACTAGATTTATAATTAATAACACTATTGCTTTAAGATTCATACCCTTAAAACATTCACACATATACATATATATGTATGTAACTATATCAATATATGTAATTACCTACCGATAATAATGAATGACAACATATGCCAGTCGTATGTTTGGGTATTTTTATATATTGCTCAAGCGGCGTACAATGATCGATGTAATGTGCCGTTACATTCGAGGTCACACATTACTGTTTCCTTAAAATCGATTATGACATACATTCATTGCATTCAAAACAACGAGCCAGCACGCGGGACACACCACCGCCGGAAACTACAGAATACCGCGGCGAGAGCACGCGCGCCAACAAACAAACAAACACATAATATTGTTCCGACACTTCCTCCGCTGTTTGGACACAACAATCACGATATTATTGTATCGGCCGATATCGGGTTTCCTTCATCTCGCGCGCAACATCCGCGCGGCCGCTGGCGAGTGACGACCCAACACATTCTATGTACACAACACGAGCATGTTTCAGCAACGATTAGCATGACTCCAAGAAAAGAACGTTCGATGTGACGGTCTAAGGTCAATGAGACTAGAGGACGGCGCGAGTGTGGCGCGGAGTATTGTGAAACACGAGCGGTGGTCACCTACACATGCACGAGCGACCCAACGAACACATTGTGGCGGTTACGAAACAACGAGCCACCAGGAAAACTGACAGCACTCTGAATAAAGAGCGGAGGACGCTGCCTCACCAGCCGTTCATACCAGCGAGCACAGATAACGTACTGCTCGCCGTGGTGGGATCGAGGTCAGCGCGGACTCCCGACCAGATACATTAAAAACAACCTCACACCTATATAAATGCATGCTAGAAGTCTTTACGTCTGTCAGACCATCCGATACCTGTGACCCGCCCACTTGTTGATGGATCTAATAACGCTTCCGTCTCCGAACTCCTCGACGCTCCGCAGTAATTAGAACATCGCTCAGAATGTACTTCCTAAATAAATATAAAATGCCCGTTCATCGACTGTGTACATATCGTATGTCATGTCGTATTTCCCCAAATGATAATCAGATAACAGATCTATTAACGATCCACGTATATATTTCGTAACAAATTGATATTTTAATTATGTATGTATTTTTAGAGCGAATGTCTAACGTCAATAATACATAAATAGTCTGCAGTTCTAGTTAATAGTAACTCGCGGTTGGCATCTATCTGTTTACTGCCGAGAGGGGCCGAGGGGGGGGAGGAGGCCGGAGGAGGCCGGGGGGGCGCGGGGCTGCGGGGGGGGAGCGGTCTACAACCAGGTCAAGGGAGCCGAGATGCACCGCTCGTTCGCGCGAAATCTCACTTTCGCGCGCTGCACCAAACATGGCCGACCTATGACGTTATAGTTCGTTCTCGTTGACACAATTTAAGGTTTTCCGGTTGTATCGATATTAATTTTAGACGGTGACACAGAATGTGACATGATCGTGGAGAGTAATAAGGCCGCGGAGGAATTAGAGATGTGTTGCAACGATTACACGTGCGCGGAATATGACAATAACAAACATATCTAAGGCAACCGTACCCTTGTCCCTATTTTTGTTTCCTACGGCCGCTCGTGATAACGTATCTAGTAGCTTATCGTTGTAATGCAATAGATCATCATTGAACATTTTCTGTTCTCTTTAGTAGGGCCGGCTGTTGTTTTTGATTCGCACCAAACCTCCACCTCGAGTTGTCAGATGAGACTATGATAAAGTAATTTAAAATATTACATGCCTATTTATAATTGACGGCGGAGTTTCAACATTTATTCCGAGAAAATAAATTTCTCTCTAAAATAAATCATGACCTATAAAACATAACATTTTGTAAATATTTTGTTTGTCGTTTGACTAGCGAGAAAAATATAATATATCTGTTGACTTGTTTTTGTACAAACCGAGCCGTCGAAACAAACTGACGCTTGGGCACGAGCGACATAGAGGTTAAATTGTTACGGCAGCGTTTGTTGCTGTTCAAGAGTCGCTGATCGGTCGGCCGTGAGCAGCATTAGCGGCCGACCGAGGCTGCACGTAGGCTGCCGAACCCCGAACCTCTCCAAGGAGACAAAAAATGATACAGCCATTAGAACATGACTAATAACCGAGTCATTGAAAAATAACTGGAATGTTCGAACGTTCGTGAGGTTGGTTATGTCCAGGGATATCAGAGGCCGTGGTCAGTTTCCTGTATATAACAGTTCCTATCACCCGGACCGAGCGGGTCCGCGCCCTTCGCCGCTGACCCAGTTCGTAGCGCGCGCGCATGTCAGCCGGCAACAGATCTATTTCAGCCCGCTCGCGTGTCACAACATCACATTCATAATACCTGGGTACTCCTTTGACACCTCCACCTGTACCACTAGTCACTACACAACCTGGTGGTCGTGCATATAATTCTGTTCGCAGTTGCCTCTTCACAGTTTCCAAACGTCGTCGTTGTTTTGTAACCCGAGTGTTTGGTAGTGAGCTGACCAGATAAACAATGTTAGGACGGCGGCCTTTCCACTCATGAGTCACGAGCGAGTTGCGCAACCTCTGCCTCTTACATTAGCATAAACAAACAACGGAATTTCATTAAACACATCCTATTTAATGTATTACCGATTTCATTATTTAATATTGTACTATTCGTTATATTAAATGTATGTTCTAATATATGAGGTATGTCTACTTCCAAGAGTGTATATTCTCGAGCGGGTTATTAAAGTATTAAAGCGTGTTATCATAATAATCGAGCCGATTTCCATTTCGCGCCGCTGACTTTCTTCAGTTCCCGCGCGGGGGAAAGTGTCCGCGACTTTTCCGACGCCATCTTAGATAGTTTTCCCTGTTTGTGGGATCTAGATGTTTATGTAGCGTACTTTTAATTTTATGGTTAGTATTCATACAGCGGTTGGAATAATGATCTTAAAAGGTTATTTGTGTCATGTAGAAACAGGTGTCACACTATTTCGGTCGAACAATCAGTCGAGTAAAGATATAAAGTTAATGTTAAATCAGTAACGAAGTACACGAATGGCGTCCAGGGTCATATCTGGCTCAGACCAGGACTCATTGGAAATAGACACCTAACAAACGAGCTGGACTCATCACCATCGATAGCTTGTATCTTCCTCTCTCAAGCAAATATCGCTGTGTTGGTGTATCATTGTCCTAACTTAATATGGATACCTATATAATTACTTTGGCTCGACCACTCACGCTAGACCCCCCGTATCATATATTATCAGGGATTTCGCGGTCCACTGTATAATGTGTGGTTTGAAATAGCAGAAGCTTCCCGGATGTACTTTGACGTCAGCCATCTCATAAGATTAACCGAAACAAAATGTCGTTAAATGGCACCTTAACCATAAAAATATAGAGTCCATTTTAGTTTCGCGCCTCCGGGCTATTATGTATAGCAACTTCCTTTAAATTGTTTGTTATTACGAGTGCGAATCGCTCGGCGGCCATCACGAGTTTATATAAAACCGTTCAATTATTTTGAAGAAAACCAAACAAAAAAAACTTTTCGACTCGGCCACTTTGTTCCTGAAAATTTCGTACCTTTTGAGATTCCGTTGAGTCAAATACGGTCGAGTTTATGAAATGCTTCTGTGAAACAATATCTCGATACCAAAGTCGGGGTGTACGGCGGATACCGAATTATACATCTCTCGTTATATGTATATAATAATGAATTTCGCTGATGAAACTCACACATACACAAACACACACACACACACACGCACACACACACATACATATTGTAGTATAAGCCTGCAGTCTCACATACCGGGCCGCGTCGTATCTTTTGTATGTTTGTGTGTATGTCTGTTATACCGAAACGGATGAGCCAGGAAACATATATCAAATGATTAATTAGTTATCGTCCGCCATTTTCCTTATTGCTTAAATGTATGGAGTAATAAAAAATCACCGCGAGCTATATTTAGATACATATATAAATATAATATTAAATTAAATCATAATAAATCGTCGCTCTCTACACATAACTGTCCGTCTTCCACTTCATAATATCTCTTAAACAATACGTGTGTGTGTGTGTGTGTGTGTGTGTGTGTGTGTGTGTGTGTTCGCCACCTCTCTCGTCCTGGGCCGTGGTCGGTGTAGTCCAGACGTGACGTCATCGGCCGAGCCACTTCCTCAGCCGCGGTCACATTGAGAACTGGTCTCGGACTTGGCTTTTTATACAAAACACATTTTTGTGATCTTTACGTCTCCTCGTGTTTTATTCGTCGTTAAATCTCCTCGGAGACGTCCATTACTCATCATGTACGATATGTTGACTGTCTCCAATTAGCGTCCGCTGGTAATGAGAGTGCTGTTCATTTTAATCGATAAACACAATAAGTGACGGAGATCGTTCTCAGCACATAGCTGCACGCATGTGTACATGTGATGAGGAAAATGTGGAAAATAAATTCTTGTGCCGTTTAATTTAGTCAATACTTCTCACATTAATTGTTCCAGCGATACTCCACTATTATACTTCGATCGTATTGTTATATCGTTCATCTCTAACACTCGTACACTGCTCCACGTATTATTGTCGAATCTTTTCCTGAGTTCCTAATTAATACCTCGCATGTGAAACCGTCGACAGCTCTTCGTCGCCGATCTTAAAATATCTCTCTTGAAATAATGACCGACAGCAAAAATAAAATGCACTCTTGTGTCACGCATCACAACACCCTGAATGTGACCAGGGAGCAGCTCATAAAAAGTTACATGTATCAATATAATATACTATACATATAGTCGGTTTACTAAACGTGGTCGGCGATGCCCTCGTATGTGCATTGCCTTAAAACTTTGCATTTGAATTTATTTAAAACGTAATAGAGTTTCATCTCACTTTAGTGTAATGAAATTCTTTTCATCAGCGGTGTTCCAGACGTTTTAACATAACAGCGCGGAACCCGGGGGCCGTAGCGTACACTGAACTGCATAAAACTAACATTATTGTACCACTGAAATAAAAGACCCCCTCTGTGGAGGGGTGTAGGGAGAGGAGTGCATTCACCTGACTCCGCCACAGAGGGAGAAGCTCATTACCTATGCAAGTTAGTTAATGTTTCAGAGAAACAGGAAAGTAAAAGTGGGAGGAGGAGCACAAAGACTAGGTACTTCAGGTTGGTAGCGATGCCCGCAGGTTGTACAGCATTATCTCCCGACTCGAGCTTGTTAAACTCCGCGATACGTCTCTCTTATAAAATAAATTATTCACGTCAGAATAAAACAACTTTCGGACGTTTCGTTTGAGGGAAAATTTGTAATTTTCCAGCGTCGAATATTCTAGGGTTCCTTTAGTATTGATAACACACCTTACGCAATCCAAGTTAATAAACATTTCAATCGAATTTCCAAGGGTCGGTACATTCTGAAACATGTTTGATTTGTACATCGATAATTGGAAGTACTTCTGTAACCGTATCGTGTAAGATACGAAACCAATTAGTTCAACAGATAGTTTCGCCTCGTCTTGTAGGAGACTGGCCGTAGTGACGTTGTTGACATTGTGCCGACATTGTGGGAAGTAAGCGGAAGTCTAGGTCGGGCCGGGTGCCCTGGATTCAGTTTGTATCGATTTACGAGGCCTAAAGCCGTCTCGCTGCTCATAAATTATGTACCTTTATAATGTTAGTATTTCGCTCCGTTCGGCCGGATCTGCTTTAGGAGGCTACATGTACATAGCTCTATATTAAACTATTCAAAACTGTTCTATATATACGTCTCGTATAATACATGATTATAAAGACAAAGGAATGTTTCTCATCTCGCTGTTTAAGTAATTCAGACTAAGTGCAAGTGCAAGTTAGTCAAATGGAAACAAATCCTCAGAGATACCGTCGACCTCTGCACTTCACCTCCGTACCTCCGTTCTATAATGCACACTCCGCAGTATTAACAACTTTCTGCTTTCAACGTCGTATCATTTATTCTTGGTATTATATTTTTGTTTAATACTATATTGAGATCGTACATAAAGAATATCTCAATTTATTAAGAAGCAAGTAAAACTCAAATATGTATATGTATATTAGACGCGAGGAGCTTCATTTCATTATTACATTTTCCACCTGAAAAGAAGTCAAAGTATCATTTAACATCTAAAAACGGTACCGAAATTCCGTGTCTTCAATTGAGCCTAAACCTAACATGAAAGGCTTGTCAGACAAAGGCTCCGAGGCTCTAGTAACACAAAATTGTTGAAGGAAAATTTTCTGAACATTTTCAAAAAGACGTTTCTAGTCGTTTACAAACTACATTTGAAGGGTGAGTAGTGACGTCAGAGACCCTTCAGGCTCGAATAGTCATTTTATAGTCCGTTAACTGGTTGAAAAGTATACAAAGAAGACGGCGTGAGACTTCTCAGAAATAAAGTATCGAATTGAGTGTCGAGACTCGGACCCCGCTGATTGATATTACAACAATCTGCTTAAATGAACAATGTTTCTTAATTAATTTAAATTGGCTTTTCAATTGAAGTATTTAGAATAAAGGGCTAACTTAGATTCTGTTTGATGATTTATATTTTACAAGATTTGTTCTTAAAATCATTTCGTGAGTCAACTTTGGCGGCGACTCTCATAATAGATATGTATCGACGGTACTTTAAACTTGTACTTTTTGTTGTAGCTGATATGTTATAAATATAATACGCTTATCATTGGTGCACACGATCAGTGTCGTGCCAGTTTCCACATTTGCATCGAACGGTCGGTATGTAGTCATGTACACGCCGTTAAGAGTTCACATTTCGTCTAGACATTTCGACCTGGACGAAAGGGAGAGTCATCGTCTCCCTCTGCGCCAAACATGCGCACTGTTGAGGGAACGAGCTCTGGGGGTGGAGTGGAGGTCGCCGGGGTCGCGGGGGTCGCTGGGGGCGCAACAGGTGGCTCGGGACACGGGGGAGGGGGCGCCGGGGAGGGGCAGGGGGCTCAAGGTTGCCGCACGGAAGCGTCTGGCTGCTGTATCATTAAACATTATACAATATCGATTTTGTAATTCTCTCGAAACTTCTGTTATATTATATAGTTGTCGTTTACGAGATGAGACCGTCGGACAACTTGTACGGTTACTGAACAATAATAATAGATCTATGAAGAGGATGAGCATACCTCCTGGTTTAAGGACATTCAAGTAATCAATTCTATGTATTCCTGATCCATATTCTAATGGTGTGTGATTGTTCCAGTGGACGGTGAGCCGACGTCCCTGACCCTGGGCGCGAGGGGCTCCCTCGGACGAGCGCTGCTCCACGGCCTGCTGGCACCAGCGCCCGCGCCGAGACACCCGCTGTACACCGCGCCCAATACTGGTCAGTATACACACACATACATACACTTAGACGGAAGAACAGGGTGACACTTTAAATACAGTACTTGAAGAAAAGCTTTCAAAACAACATAAAAAAAATATGTATATAGACTATACTTTATTTCAATAAGGGAATACGATGGTAGAGAAATTGTTATCAAACTAAACATATGTATCTTGTTAAATATTAATAATTTCAAAGAAATTATGTAGAAATATTAAAGCAATATGTAGACGAATATATACATGTATAAATAGATGAAAGGGTTGCTCTTTTCTGGGTCAGATATCCTTTGTCGGCGAGTAGAGCTCCCGCAGGCGAACTAACATGACGACGCCAGGGATTCTTTACATTCACTTTGAGAAACGTTCACTCGGTTTAACAGAGAATAATAAAAATGTACAACAAATAAATAAGAAATCATTAGTTGTGTTGTAGACCAGACACAACGGATATTAGTTAGGGACGATGAGAACAGCTCACATCTCTATTAGGCATCATGTTTGTTCAGTAGTTGTTGCAATTTCCGTCCACGCCGCTTGAAAGGACTCACGTATTGTACCCCAAATTACACATCCACCGATATAATGTCTGATTTTATTTCTCTAAAGAAAAAATGACGTCACAATATCGTCCTGTCTTCAAAGATTTAATGGGAATACCAGTAATGAATATTATTTTAAAAAATACGTCCGATTAGCGTGTAGAGAGGAACCGTCATCCGGTGATATTCAGTTTTGGGAAGAGATAACTGATATCGGGGTCGCGATTATAATGTAATACGATTTTATAAAATCCTTATGTAATGTTGTTCCTCGTCAATGAACGGACTAACCTTGAAGCCTCCGCAGTAGGCTGCTACCTCCTTGTATACCTACGTACAATATTATTTCGTAATCTCATATATTTTCAAGTGAACATATTTCATGTCGGATGTTTGTAATCCTTATGACATGCGGCCATCCCTTTAATTGGGCGAAAAAGCAAAAAGTTCCCATTCATCACACGTTTTTTTTTCGTCTTTCTTTTGCAAGTCATAATATTTGAAATAAATAATTAATCAATTACACTAAAGAAATTAAAGTGCAATAACAATCAACTTTGAAGTTTATATCAATGTATATTATCAATACTCAACATACGTCCACGGTGTGAACAACGTGCTCCTCTTCTGTGAAGTCGGCTGAACCTAATCCGTAGTCGTTAGTATTCAAGGCTCACTAGTATTTCGCATTCCGTAATGACTTTCAAATCTTCCTCTTTTACATAAACTGTTAACCCGTAGGAAATAAGATCGCGTCAAAACAAGTGCGAAGGAGGCGAGCATGAAAAATTCATAAAGAACAAAGAGGAAGTGCGGGGCAATCGATACCCTCAGCTGATCCCTCCCAATGTCAAGAGCGCGGCCTGCTCCCGCCACCCCCGCCTCCCCCTGACTCCTTCCGACTCCCCGCTCACGCACACGCCGAGCCTCCCGTACAACACATGTAAAACGATTGCGTAACCATCGGTCTCGGCTTTATTAGTCCATAAAGCGAGCTTTCCGTTGCTCTGTCTCGTATTAACCTGACGAATTAAATAATTACAATAACATCCGAAACCTAAACATATTATATGCTTTATATCTATATATTTTGGTGGGACGATACGTTTTCGTACGCGTACTACATATGTAATATGTATGTATATATTACAGTTGTTCTATAACAATACTAATACTTTAACAGCTTGGCCAGATGGTAGAAAGGGTCAAATGTTGCAAAATATGCAATTTCATCAAATCAGCCCTTCAGTGGCCATGTGGGTGTATTAATCGGTGATTGCTCAACTAATAGAAAGTACCCTTAATATTATTATTATCTAAAGGGTTCATTTTCTCCATTGTCCGTCCCTGACAGCTCTGATATATTACGTCACGGTTCATTGCGACGTATCACACTCAATACGTACCGTGTGTCGTGCGAAACACTTTCTTTTGTACGATTTATAATTCAGTTTTACTTATGTAATATAATTTTTGTTCTTACTCGTGGCAACACATACCGACACACGCTCCTTGTTTAGTGTGAGGTGTGCTCGAACTAAATGTGTGTCAGTGGTATGTGTCGTCGGTAATCCGATATTGACGGATATTTTACAAATCAAACTTTGTGCAAAAAAAGGGAATATATCCAAAATATCGTCGGCGTCACAAAGCGTACGTAACCCTTGCACAGCACCGGGCCCGCCGGACCGCAAACATTCTTAAATCCTAACCAAACATTAGATCGCAGATGGTTGCACACATTGCGTGATATTCTATTATCGCTTAGAAGCCTTTATGCAAAATGGGATCCGCTGCACCTTGCGCTGCCCCGCTCTCCGTCACCAACAATAGACACTAATCTGTGACAGGCTCACTGCTCGATGGCTGCATCTCTCTCGTTATAATCGGTTTCCGGTGCTGAATGCCGACACTATGTAATTAGAATGTCATGCGTGGGTGAGAGACAGCCAGGCAGCCCGCTCCTATGAACGATGTTTTTGTCATATTCAGCTTTAAATACCGTGAGGTCGCTGTGATTATCGCTACCTCGCGTATCGTTCACGGAACAGGTTTCGCGTAGGTATACAGCATCGTTTTGTTTAATTATGATATAATTCGATTAATCTTCCCCGCGCTGTCGCATAATATATTTAAAGAGCGCCCTCAAGATGGCCAACGGCGTGTTTAAATGGCGAGGGGTCCTCGGCAGATATTACCATCAAAATAGCCTTAAGTAGTTAAGGGCAGGACGGTAAGGGTCAACAGATTCTAAATAAACTGGAAATATCTTGAAGCTCCGCGGTTTGATGTTGTCTTTATTTATTGTTAACTCATTGTTTACTCGTTATATACAACACTTCCATCACTATATATACATAGAAAATGTGAATATAAATTAAACTATACTATATATTATAATTTTATGATAGTTAACAGATTTGTTAACCTGTATACAATGGTTTAAGAATACATTGACACATTATAATCTTTTACTAAACTGAAAACGTATAAATAAGTATTATAGTTACAATGTACTATATTGAGAGAAAATAAAACGGGGAAGAACCAAGAAATTAACACTATAAATATACAATACATATAATACGTATATATGTGTGTGTTTGTGTGTGTGTGTGTGTGTGTGTGTGTGTGTGTGCGTGCGTGTAGTATGGGATCAGTATTCAGTGTAATGTGTAATATCTCCACGTGTACGGTCCTCGCCGTTAATGTAACGTGTTACGTGCTCCGTACCGACTCCTCATCACCGCATCATTATTCATATGCAAAAAATATTCAAAGTAACCATTCGCAGGGATTATGGTCTAACACCGCTTTTGGCACAAAGGCGATGGACAGCGGTCAGTCTATAAAGATGCTCTGATTAAAAAAGGGTGGGATATCTTTGTCCGTATTGTGATATTTTACTAATGGGACCGCATTCCTCGCCGGCCGGTAGAGCTGCTCCGGAGGGGCTTGGTTAGCATTATTTATTGATAATTTATTATTATTTTGATACGTGAGATGAAAGGGGCTCACAATGGAAGCGATTCCGTGTTCCTGGCCGTTGGACGAACCGGCGACTGGTCGTGGAACGTGGTAGGAACGGGAACTTCATGAACACAAGGTTATATCGAACCAGATATTTATAGCTTTTATGCTTGAAGAAATTATTCATCTCATCGCCTTTAGGTTACGTTGTGTCAACAGTTAGGATATTTGAAGATTACTTTATACGTAGCTTCTCATCAAACCCATTAGTCCAATGAGTTATTAATTTGCTTTTATATTCAAATTTACAATCGAAGTCCGACCGGGCACTTCCTGAATTAATTCGGTCACAACAAAACTTGATTTATTTGAACGAACTATTACGTTTTGTTGATTATACTGTAACACTATACTATTCTCGATTTAAATGGTCAAAAATGGCCAGGGTCCAGTAGGGCACCTCGCTTCCCGGTTCCCATAGCCATTGTCCAACGCTGAAGGGTTGACAATGGTCACAAAAGGGTGCGGACAGCGCATTGAGGCTCGCACCGGTCAAATGGTCACCGCTGACTCAATACCAGTCATAGTTTCAATGGACAAGGAAACGTATGAATATAAAGCTTTCTTTCTTAACTCCTAGTTGCATGATTATATTATTTAAATACCCGACAGCCGTTAGTCGTCAAACTTTTTTATTACAAAGGGCTCGGACATGAGAAAGTTTTCACCGTCTTCTCATTTCCATATCTGACACCGCATCCAGCTCCACTTGATATCTAACTGTCTTCAAACTTTAAATAAATATTTCTTAACGTATATAATAGAAGCACGAACTATATTTTTACATATAAAATAGGTAATTATGCAACGAAAACATACCGAGATGACAATACATTTGTGATGCAAAAAACATCCCTAACCCTTGAACTATTCGTTCAAAGAAAGTAAAATCTGCATAATGATATATTAAAATATACGCTATATTTTACATGACAATAGGAAGTGACCGTAGAGAGTATTCCCACGCGTCAGAACAGGTCAGGTGGAAGTGCATTTTAGCGACTCGTAAGGGTTAGGGCTGAGACTGACCGTTGGGACTTAGCGAGAGACGGTCATTAGCGGGGTGCATGCGAACCATTGTGCAAGATGACCGTTAGAACAGATTGAACAGTGCGCTCTGTGATTTATGCGCTCTGTATGCAAATAAAAAGCAACGGTTCAGATGATCCCACAGCGTTCTTAATAATGAAATATACAACATGATAGGTGACGAGTGTTCGAGCTAAATCCACACATCACGCTGGTGGCGTATTAAATGCAATGATGCAATCGTTACTTATAAATTTTCCAGTAACAATAAAAATACTATTCATTGTTTAATCTGCGTTCCTTGAACCGCAACATTCTATAATAAATCTCGGTCATAAATGTTTATAACTTATCTCAAACATGACCGTCGTTGAGGACACTCCGTGTTATATTCATTGTATATGTTCTGTACGGTGTGTTTGTTCTCAGGTTCCCTCCCTCCTTCTCCGGCGGACAGCGGTGTCTCGGACGTTGAGTCGTCCTCGTCAGGAGCGGGCTCCGCGGAGGAGCTGAAGGCCCGCCTGCAGCCCCCGCAGCCCGCGCCCTTCCACACCCCCTTCCTGCCCTTCTACCAGCCCCATCAGATCGCCTCCTCGCTGCAGCATCACGTCGCCACCCACCCCAGGCCGCCCGGTAAGCTGATCACATATACCTAACACACGTTCAACACATAGCAATAATCCGGAGCGAAATTAACTTACAAATCGACCGTCTTCTGCTGATAGGTCCATCTCATTGTTACTCTGAACACATCACAATCGAACAGAATACTCAATTACAGTAGGAACCGTTTGGAGACGGCTCGGTCGGATCAGCGCTAAGCTTTATAATAATATATTTAATTATCCGGCACGTACGACGCTACCTACATCATTACAAGATCTTATTTGTCTTGAAACATATTATATACATGATATAGTTCGCTGTGAGTTGTCATCATCGAGACTTCGTTAAAATTAATAATAAATTACGTAATAACTGTGAGTGAAGTAACGACTCTCCGGTGTGTAGATAACGAGAACGTTTATATCAGAAGTTGAAACGAATGTAACAATTAAACAAACAAGACGATCGAAGACAACAAAAGCGATGAGACAATACGATTAATAGTGTACATAATATGAAAATTAAAAGAACTTCCAACAATGGTGTGCCGGGGAAGGTGACCGGTGAACGAACCACGAGGAAGGTGACCCGGGGCGGGGTCGGGACACAGACGAACACACGCCGGCTGGAGGAGAACATGTTACATCATCTGGATATGACTGTCATACATACAGCATCACGAACATACATTACATTGAGCGAGCAAAGGATACCTCTTCACAGGATCCCTCTTCCATCAATGTATAATCCTAAAAATGAAAATGTTTACGCCAAATTAACTCCATAACTGAGTTTCCCCCGTGATGCTGCAGGAACCCTGGCTGACGGCCAGCTGGCCTGCACCCACACGACTACACACACCCACACACCCTCATCACACTTCTGTTACAATTTGTACCAAAGCACGTGTTATAATTCTATGTGATGATCAACAACAACTATGAAAGTATCTTCTGAATTAATTCTGATGTAGCATCATGTCTCAGATACACCGACCTCGACTCCCCGACGTCCTCTTTATATTTTTTCCAGAAAACATCTTCATTACATTAAACACCCGGCTTATGGTCTTGATGCTCATGAAAGTTATAGCTTTCAGATTAAAATAACATACCAGGATAAACGTGCACATACATATAAATACATTAATATGCTGCTCATCGCATGCTTATACACAAGTTTTATTAAATATATATTATATGTGACTCTGACAGTCGTGTCGTATTGAAAGTAAAATTAATTCTGAACGGTCGTACATAGTATGAAGACGTATTATTGTACTCGTCTATATAAAGAACACTAAGAACACACAGTAATAATAAGACCTGCCAAAACGTTCAAAATAAAAGAAAACGTTCGCATTGCATATTTGTTGTTTGTAAAACATAGGGATGTGTCGTGACAGAACGAAATACGAAAATATATATTTTTTAATTAATTATTAAACCATACCTCTATACTATATAGTATCTTTCAAACACACCAGTAATCTAGCAGTAAACGTATAACCGGTGGACGTAAATAAAAATACATAATATATTTAATTAACAAACATTTAATATGAGCAAAAAACGAATACAAAGACGAGTGGAGACGAGGTGCGCATCCCTAGCGGAACCAGTTGGCATAGCGATGCATCGGTCGCCTGTCCTTAGCTATTTGACATTGTGCAAGGTCAGTGCTCCTAATATAAAGATGCAGAAACGTCCGCCGTCCGTCGCCCGCCGCCTGCCGCGTGTGTGCCGGACGCATGACACACGCATCCCAACAACACTTTCGATTGTTGGCCGCTCTATTATATGGTGATATCGACGGTGTTTTGGCTCTCATAACTTTACATACATTATACCGCTGCGTTACTCGACCGAAGTACTATGTATTATATGAGTCACCCTGAAACTGTTATCGAAAATAGAGTTATATAAAAAGCCATTCCCGCGTTTACATGAACGTAGATTACACTAAAGTTATTATTGTTGTTTAATACTATTGCTTATTATAAAATATTATTAATAATTGTTGCTGTTCTGACGTTACGTGTTATTTTATCTTGTTGTATTAATAAAGTCGGCGTTGAAAATATATTATATTTAATAACACAATTTGAACGGAAAAGATGACCGTTACAAAACACGATAAATGACGGGAGAGGGACTTGAATGTGTCACGTCCTCTCCATATATATTACATGATGTATATGAATATAATACACACACACATCTACAGACGATAACACACAGCGACCTACATTCATTACGCTATGTACGTATGTCTGTTTCACAAATTCCTAATGTTCTCATTAACACCCCGATGACTTTCACTACATACGTATTGTATAGTTACGATCTATAACAGACGCGGCTCAAACGAGACTTAATCCTCGCGATTCCGAAATAAGCGGCTCGACTCGACTCCGTACGTTCATCTCAGGAGATTTCGCAAACACAGCTTATGAAGCAGCCATTGTACTCCTCGTGGTCGTGTGTACATGATGTATAGAGTGACGTGTGCGGTGTACACCGAGCGGCGCGTCGCGTGTTGCAGTGAGAACACACGAATATCCGATGTTGCAAACAGATGTCGAAACGGCATCGGCACCATTGTCACTGGCGAAACATTCGACCTTCCGACGCCGTGGCCGGCGAACAGTGGACGGCGTCTGTTGAAACACGATACACGCAACACGGAACAGGGCTCACCTCTCACACATGGAGGAGGACTCGCGAGCTGGTACATGTGGACCCCTGGTATACGAGTAGAATCATCAGGTGTTGACCAAATGGACGAGGATCTCCAACGAGAGATCAGAACACAGAACATCACAACCATTGTAAACCTGGCCGCGTGTTGCGTCACCAACCGCTTGTATTGTACATTATTGTTTACACCGGCGTGTACACCGGTGTGTACACCAGCGTGTACACCGTTATACACATGTACACTGTCGCTCGTTATAAATAATGCGTCGTCCGTGGACCCTGGGTTTTTTGATTACAGGTAATCTAACACCGTCTTGCGTGACTCGCTCCAGCCGAGCTCGGCCAGTATCACGATTGTTTTTCTATTTATCATATTGACCCAAATCCATCGTATCGAGGCTGCCATGACAGGTGGAGATTGCACATAAACTAAGACCACGCATGCGCAATATAAAATTACTTATAATTGTGCGCGCGTGTGTGAGTATGTGTGTGTGTATTCGTGACATATTTGCACAAACGAAATGGAAATTAAAATGGTTGCGTCTATTTTGCAGCGCGGGGTCGCGATAAGGAGCGCGTGTGTGCGTGTGCGTATGTGTGTGTGTGTATGTGCGTGTGTGTGTGTGAGCGAGGTGATCGCCCCGTTTCAAGGGCAGTGCAGCTAGCGCGCTCATATTAATAGTCAGTGAGTATTTTCGCCAGCGCCGCCACCGCCGGAGGAACGGATCGTTACTATTGACATTCGCAAACTTCCAAATAAAACGTACATTACAGAGTTACGACACACTTCACACTTTTCCTGTTCATATTATGTACTCGTTTCATATTCAAAAGGTTTAGTTGTTTTTATTTTCTGTACCGACACAACATTGTGAATAACATTCGTATTTTAAACGAGGACGGGTTTTCGACATCGATTCAAATAGGAAAAAATAAGTCTAACAATACGACTTAGAAGTAATTTATGATATGAGTACAATTTATATACATTCTCGACATTTATAATTGATACAACCGTAATTAATGACAATGAATATATCTGAAAGTGTTGTTTCGTAACACTGTCCCCTGTTCAGAGGCACGTCACCAGCTCCCTCGTCACGGAGGTGTTTGTGAAGTGACCTTTATGGATTGAGAATTCCAATAAGCGCCGTGCCACGACTATCAGAGGCAGCGCCATCTGTTAGCGGCCGGTGTCCGTTGCGCAAGTCGACCCAGTTGCGTGTCGGCCGCTGCCAAACGCTTCGACTGCTCAACAATTACATATTTGGGTGTCGCAACACTCGTCGCATCCGAGTTGAACGCCCCGCGACCTTGAGCGTTGCGCAGCGAACGAGCGCTGAAAGCGAAAGGACCGGCCGGCTCCCGGAATATAGCACACTAACTGAACTGACTGTACGCGTTCACACACGGCGACCGGCCTGCACTTCCTACTGTAAACACCGCTCTCGTAGTGTTCACACTCGACATCTCAGTCCCTAAAATCGATAGGTACATCCGTGATGAATGGGGTCATGTGCGTACGTGACCTGAACCTACTGACGTCAGCTATCAACAAACCGCAGTGTAGTTACCATGAATCACAGCCCGCGAGCCCGTCTCTAAGAGTGTGTCACGTTGGACTGCACGCCTCTTACATCTTACACAACTCACACAACTGGCATCTTCCTTCCGAATCTCTAGATGCAAACATATCGAAACATGTCCTAAAATAATCATGAGTCACACTGGAGAGATGAAATGACTTCACTCCAACTTTTTGTCTACAATGCACTCGACAAACGTTACTATATTTAAGTTACGTACAACTATTTTTAAACCAGGTCAATGATATCTGACAGTAATAATATCTTTTAAATTCGATAACTACTCTAAGGAGTCAGCCGTCATTTGAGTCAGTATCTCGACCTCATTCCTCTCACACCAGTATCCCGGAACCGCTCCACGTCTCGAGGTTCGTCTTCCCGTCCCGGTTCAGTCGTCCCACATTCGTGCTCCACTGGACTCCTAGCCGTTTTAAAATTATCCGTTCATTCCCGACGGAGCGCAAGAACGCCCTTTACACTTCGAAGCTCCTCTCTAAATAGAGCCCTAGCCCTTAGAAGTACTGTACACTATCGGGAGGTGAGCATTACGGCCGATAACGTTGCGATATATTCAATGAGGTGATCCAGGAACACTGGGCATGTATAGTTGTGTTATAGAGGAGATATCAGGTTGGCATCCTTGTGCGTGTTCTAACGGGGTCAGTGTTAGAGCGCATAGCGCTGCGTAAATAGACCACCCCCTCCCCGCGCTCCCCGCGCGCCCTCCCTCGCCCCCCAC